TCACGACAACCGAAATAGTCAAATAACAGAAGGCCGTATCAGCCTTGCTGGAAATCAGAAAGTTGCTACAAAGCCTGAACAAATTGAGCTACATACTGTAGATTCTGCCTCTCCCTCCGTGCATAGGGGAAGACAGCTGACGTCCTTCTCTTTCCTTACAGTGTTGGAGCTATAAATAGCACTGCTCATATTGTCAAAATAGCAGGAAGGGGGATAGAATAGAATTTCAGAGGCAACGGCTAGCTTGGAAGAACTCAAGAGTTTTGCTGAAATTCAGTAAATCTTCACAGAAAAAACAGCCTAAATGAAGGGGTATCACGAAATAGCCCAATGGTGAATACCCAGAATGATGATTTGCTTGCAGAGGGAAAGATGACATGGAATATCCTTGAATTGGGCCATAATTGGATGAATTCTGGCCATAAGCATCTTTTTACTATATACAAAATGGGGTAAGGCAGATCGTATCTTCCAGATAATATCTCTCTCGTGTGAGGATCTGTTCTGCCACTTGCCTTCCAACTAAGATGGCATCGCACAGATATTCAGGGAAAAGCTGGTTGACGGCTCATGGGCTGTACCAATAAGATAGAAGATAAAATTCTTTATTGGTCAATTGTGATTGGACACGCCAGGAATTTGTCTTGGTGCAAATGCTCTCAGTGTACATAAAAGAAAAGATACATTCGTCAAGAGTCAAGAATCATCAGGTACAACACTTAATAATAATCATAGGGTACAATAAGTAATCAAATCATACTAGGAAACAGTCAATATAAATCGTTAGGATACAAGAAACAAAGTTAGTCATACAGTCACAAGTGGGAGGAGATGGGTGATAGAAACGATGAGAAGATTAATAGTAATAGTAATACAGACTTTGTAAATAGTTGGACAGGGAATTATTTGTTTAGCAGAGTGATGGCATTTGGGGAAAAACTGTCCTTGTGTCTAGTTATTCTGGTGTGCAGGGCTCTATAGCGTCGTTTTGAGGGAAGGAGTTGAAACAGTTTATGTCCAGAATGTGAGGGGTCTGTAGATATTTTCACAGCCTTCTTTTTGACTCGTGCAGTATACAGGTCCTCGATTGAAGGCAGGTTGGTAGTAATTGTTTTTTTCTGCAGTCCTAATTATCCCCTGGAGTCTGTGTCTGTCCTGTTGGGTTGCAGAACCAAACCAGACAGTTATAGAGATGCAGATGACAGACTCAATCGTTCCTCTGTAGAACTGGATCAGCAGCTCCTTGGGCAGTTTGAGCTTCCTGAGTTGGCGCAGAAAAAACATTATTTGTTGTGCTTTTTTGATGACCTTAGTACTAGGTAGTTCTTGACATAGAAGCATAATTGGAAACCTAAGCGATGTGGTTGTCAAGCGAGACATTGTGTGACCAGATCCAGTTTTACAACCATTTTTACCACGGTTCTTCAGGCTTCCCCAATTGGCTTCTCTTGTCGAAAGCCATCTGGGAAAGCCACAAATCACGTTGGCGTGATCGCCAGACGTTGCAACCCTCGTAAATGCAAGCCGATTGTCAAGTGCCCGAATTGTGACAAATGTGAGCACAGGGATGGTATGATGGTCATAACTTCGATGGGGCACAAGTCACTTTTTCCAAGGCTTTCATAACTTTGAACAATTGTTAGGTGAACAATCGTCAGTCAAGGACGACCTGCGGTAGCCTCAACCTACCCCTTTTTTGCCATGTCTTCTCAGCTCACGAAACCTTGGTATAGAGTGGGGAGGCAAGGAATGTGGCAGGTCCTGTACTCCAAGAAGATAGATCTGGCGGGAATCCAGAAGAAGGGACTTCTCGGTGGTGGCTCCCCTTTTCTGGAATGTCATCGCTCTGGAGATTAAACTGGCCCCCACTCTTAATACGCTTTTGGAAGGCCCTGAAGATGTGGTTCTGCCAGTGGGCCTGGGGAACCCACAGTGGGACGGAGCCCATTAAATGGCTGGTATGAATCAGTGGTGGGATTCAAAAACTTTTACCACCGGTTCGGTAGGCGTGGCTTGGTGGGTGCACTTTGCATGCCAAACATGTACTTTGCATGCACGCATGCACCAAACACACACTTTGCATGCATGCACACGCCAAACACGCACTTTGCACAGGCGCAGAGGAGTTTGCACAGAGGCATTCTAACTCACTTCCTGCAGGCCCGCACTCTTCCGGTCGCTTCAGCAGCTGCCACGCAGCACTCTCCTGTGTCGTGCAAAGCAGCTGCGCTTCAAAAGCAGAGGATAAAGGTGAGTATGGGAGCCCAGGTGGGCAGGTGGGCCCAACAGCGGAGCGGCAGAAAGAATCAGTTTGGTCTCCGCTGCTCATTGCTGTTACCAGCTCGGCAGAACCGGGCCAAACCAGTAGAATACCACCACTAGTATGAATGTGTGTTGTCATCAGGGTGGGAAGGGGTGTGTGTGTGTGGGGGGGGTGTTTCATATTTTCTTATTATTTTTCTTCTTATTTCTTTTATATTGTGCTTTTATGCAGTAGTGGAATTCAAATTTTTTTACTACCGGTTCTGTGGGCGTGGCGGGGGAAGGTGACTGTAAAATCTCCATTCCCTCCCCACCCCACTAACCTGCTTTCCAGCTCCGTTGTCCTGTGCAGGGCAACCAAAGGAGACCCAGCCGATCAGCTGTGGGCGTGGCTTGTGGGTGTTGTGTTCTGTGGGCGTGGCTTGGTGGGCGTGGCAGGGGAAGGTTACTGCAAAACCCCCATTCCCTCCCCTCCCTACTAACCTGCTTTCCAGCTCCGTTCTCCTGTGCAGGGCAACCTAAGAAGACAGTAGTGGGATTCTGATTTTTTTACTACTGGTTCTGTGGGTCTGGCTTGTTGAGCATAGCACAGGAAGGATACTGTAAAATCTCCATTCCCTCCCTACTCCAGGGGAAGGATACTGCAAAATCCTATTCCCTCCCCACCCCTCTAACCTGCTTTCCAGCTCCGTTCTCTTGTGCAGGGCAACCAAAGAAGACTCGGCCGATCAGCTGGGACTCGGGAGGCGGAGAATAGATGGGGCAGGGCCAGTCAGAGGTGGGATTTGCCAATTCTCCAAACTACTCAGAATTTCCACTATTGGTTCTCCAGAACTGGTCAGAACCTGCTGAATACCCACCTCTGCTTTTATGTCTTGGTAAACCGCTTTGAGTTGCCATGTGTGAGTAGGCGGCAATTTAAATTTTCTAAATAAATAAATATGAGTCCCACATTCTGACTTCTGTGTTGTAATTGCTTCTGCTTCACCTTTCCCTTCATCAATAATACAGAGCCTGCTCACCAGGGCAGGTACGTTCTTCTCGCTGAAAAAATCTGCCTTATAAAATATTCAGTTGTGATCAGCAGCTGCCTTGTAGGTTGACTGGATTTCTCTCCCCCAAACCTTCACTCCTGGGACTCAAGACAGGACCCAGAGTTGAGGACAACATGGTAGAATCAGAGCAGAGGCAGATCTAACGTCTTGGGAACCCAAGCTGCCCCCATCCTGCGACCGAATAAACGAACCTTACGGAAACGAATTGTCTCTCCAAGAACACAACTTAGTGGCAGATGCGTGAAGCTGGAGGGAGTAGAAATGGTGGCCCCCGAAGTCTGTGTCAAGATGGGGGTCATCGCATTGTTCTGTCACCCTGAGCTCTCTGCCAGAAATCTTCAGAAATCTTTCTTGTTCTTTGATTATGGAGCTCACGGTCCCACCTTTGAAAAAGAACTAAAGATTAAGAGGATGACAGACAGGCAACCGCTTACACAGCGTTAATGACTAATCTTTCCTGCTACGCTACAGGAGCCTCAAAGAGGAAGGACTCACACATGAGCATAGCACACATCAAGCACACATGAAGGATCCAGGAGAATCAGGGTTGTGATGGTCTGGAGGACAGTCCGCTAAGAGTCTTAGAGCAGACTTGAGTTTTTCTAGGGAGTCTACACCGAAGGCGTTCTTCTAGCAATTTATTCCAGCCTCATCTGGGGGAAACTGGCCAGTTCACAAGGGTTTCCTGCATTTGGGCCGAAGAAGCCAGAACTCTGCACGAAGAACCCGTAAGCCCAATCCCCTTCCTTATTCCACGGATCATCAGCCACTGTTATGACTGCCTCCCCGGTGAAGTCGTTGATGAACAACAGAGTGGAGGCCAGCCAACTAGGTAAGTGATAGTGTCACGACTCTTCAGACCATGTTTTTTTTTTTTTCCCCTTTCATTTGGACCAAAAGCAGCTCGCCCAACTGCAGGAAATGTCAGGACGTTCTGCCAATCTTGCTGAGAAGTTCAGCGATATCCTTAATAGTGTGGTGACAACGTTACTTCTCATGCCTCAAATCATCTTTCTTTCTGGTATCTCAGGCAGTGATACGCAATCTGTGGATCACAGACCAAGTGTCAGCATTCCAGAAAAACAAACTCCAACTCCAACTTCCAAAGCTGACACCGCGCAATATTGGTCACGGTGTCTTCTTGTTAAATTGGGTTATTGTTAATCAACTCATGTGGGAGTTTAGTTAGGAGCTGGTCAATCTATCAGACTATCACTAGGTTATTGTGGATGCTGAACCTTGTAGGGTGCATTTCTTTTTTAGTTGCTTAGAGGGTATCAGAGCACCATTGAACAACTGGGAGAATCTTCAGGCAGGTACAATTAAGTTGAGGGTGGATGGACCACCTAATTCTAAACGTGGGAAATGACTGAACCGTGAAAAGTTTTCCCTCGTCTTCTCTGGATGGATAGAAGATTGGAGTTGGTCTTCGTCTAAATTTGTCAATTATAACAAACTGAATTTGGAAAATAAATAAACAAATTATTATAAAGCAAATCAAAGTAAAAATACAGCAGGGTAAGCATAAGGTCCAGCAATGCAGAGGTGATCTATCAATTGAAGGCTCTTTATCCCCTCACATTCTCTGTTGAAAATCTGTTGACTTCGCCTCCTTTGTTGTGTGCTGCCAGTCCTTAAGCGTCCTCTTCTCTGTTCTGTGTAGAGCTTAGCCTGGTTCCTGGCAAAGCAGGAAGCCCTGTGTTGCTCTGCAAAGTATGTGGTGATACCAGCAGCGGGAAGCATTATGGCATCTATGCTTGCAATGGATGCAGCGGTTTCTTCAAACGCAGTGTCCGACGGAAGCTCGTTTATAGGTAATGGATACTATTGTTGGAATAGTAGAGGAAGGGTAAATGATCTATAATTGTGCACTCTTAACTGGGGTCAAGTTGTGAGAAGATGAGGGGGCTTCGGGACATGCGGTCTGGCAGAGAGGAAGACCGTGATCGGTTTCTTTTTCATTTTTAATTCCGAAGAACCACACGGGTCCAGAAATGGGTCTCGTTAAACCCAACCAACACCCTACATTTTGTCCTGTTCAGATTCATTTTCAGACTGGGGGGGGGGGGAGAAATCTAGAATATCAAGCAACGCTCATCAACCTGCAATGCTTTGACATTTAGGGTAGAAGAAGAGAGTGAGAAAAGAAGTCCAACAGTTCTTCTCAACGGGAGCAACAGATAGAGCAGTTGGGACTTTTGTTGTAGGGCTTCCACAATCTGAGCCCTTCCAGTAGAGATGGGTCATTGTTCAATTGAAGAGCCGGTAAAGGTTGGAGGGTCCACTCTTGGTCAATTCATTTCGTTTCTAGTTTGAGAACCCCAAAAACAAATCCTTTTTAGGCTTTGGAGATTTGGGCCATACAATTCAGTGCCAAATGGACCACTAGTCCTGTGGCCTTTATTTTTTCTCCTACATCAGTTGAGCTCCTCTTTGTACTCCTCTAGTGTTGCACAGAGAAAGCATGTTCACACAAGGCAATGTGTTGAATTTGGGGATGAGGTGCAGGGACACCCTTAGTTTTGTGTTCTTGTCTCTGACCCCACTTTTGGGAGCCTGTGAGTTGGGACCTCCAGTTTTGTGATACATCTTAATCTCCTCCGCTCCTCTAGACAGGCTATTTTTTAGTTTTCAGGTGTGGATGGGACATTTCCTGCCCTAATCTCAAATCCAAGGCACCAATTTTCTTCTCAGTACTGAAATGTCAATGCTGGGTGTGTCTTTTGGCTTCAAGAGGACAAATTTCAATTTTAAAGAAGTCAGAATAGAATAGAATAGAATAGAATAGAATAGAATAGAATAGAATAGAATAGAATAGAATAGAATAGAATAGAAT